CTCCTTTAATACTCGCGCAGATGCCCCTCTTGATCATATTCTGACTAACCACAGCAAGCTTTTTTGCGTAAAAAACAGGGCTCCATTGTCAGGTTTTGACCATTCCGCTTTATTGTATCTTCCAAAAATTTATTCCACTTCAAAACGTGCACTGCTTGCCAAGCCTGAGAAAAAAGTTAAGGTTCGCAACAGGTCCGCCCAAAACATTCTCATAGTTCAGACTTGCATTTCTCTTACTATCCCCGCTTTCCTTGAACATTCTAATGTTGAATCCTGTTCTTCCAACCTGACAGCGTTTTTAAATGAAATTTTCGATATTTGCTGCCCTTTTGATACTGTTATGGTACGACCGGATAGAATTTCTTCCCCCTATTTGAAATCGTTAAGACGTAAAAAAGAACTCCTTTACAATTTAGGCTTACGTGATAACCTTAAGGACGTTACCGTCTTAATAAAAACAGAGATTGACAGGCCAAATAGCCTGTTTGTCAGCCAACTTTTTTCCTCTCCTTACTCCCCCCCTTTCCCTCCTTCCTCAGCTGAGATTTGGAAAAATCTTAAGCGTCTCACTGGCCATCGCAACACGCTGGTGGATGTGGATGCAGATTTAGACTCCCTAAATAAAAATTTTATATTTAGTCACAATGACTCCCATCTCCCCTTAGAAGACATTCCCCTATCACCGAGTACATTCCAACCCGTGTCTTTGGCAACAGTAGAGAAACACCTTAAAAAGGTCCGTGGATCAACAGCTGCCGGACCGGATGGTGTCTGGCCTTTTCTTCCTAAATCTTGCAGTTCTCAGATAGCCCCTATTTTAACGCACCTAATCAATATGTCTTTCAAGGAGTCCAAGATTCCCGACGCCTGGCATACAGTGAGAATCACTCCCATCCCTAAAAAGCCTGCTAACTTTGGTCCTAAATCTTTTCGCCCAATTGCCTGCTCCTCTGCAATACTAAAGCTTGCTGAAAGAGTTGCCCTAGATATCATTAAGCCTTTTTCTTCCAGTTTTTCCGACCCCTTACAATTTGCATACAAAGCTAAACGGAGTACTTTAGATGCTGTCGCTCTTGTGGTTCACTCTGCTCTAAAAGCATTAGACAAGGGTTGCCGCGAGTATGCGTGCGCTTTTCTTGATTGCTCCTCCGCCTTCAATACCGTCCCGCGCCCTCTTCTCCTTTCCAAAACCTCCGCATGTGGCTCTCCAGGCTGGGTCGTCTCTTGGCTGAGCGATTATTTTACCTTCCGCACTCAATTTGTCCAATCTGGCAAGCGGAAATCTTCGACCATTCCCAATGACTGCGGTGTTCTTCAAGGTTCCATTCTATCCCCTCACCGTTTCTCCCTCCACACTGATGATCTCAGGTCCCCTAATGACTGTCTTCTGGTCAAGTATGCTGACGATGTGGTTGTTGGACACCCTCTCAAAAGTCAGACACACCTCCGGTCTCTAAAGGATGGCCTAAACCATGTCCTAGCGTGGTCGGAGGAAAATGGTCTCCTAATTAACAACCAAAAATCCGTTCAGTGTATTTTTCGACTGCGGCCCTTTCCTAACCCTGATTCCTCTGACATTCTTCCTAATGAGGTATCCTCTTTCAGGTATCTCGGCTCTACTTTGTCCTCAAATCTTTCTTTTTCCCTCCATATTGAGTCCCTATTTATTAAAGTTCGAAAACTTCTTTACTACATTCGTCGTTTACGTTCCTACCATACACCTCAACCCTTAGTCTGGCGATTCATTGATGCCTGCATTCTTCCTCTTATCCTATACTGTTCTCCTGTCATTTTTCCTGCTTTGTTAAAAAAAGGATCTTTTAATTTTGAAACGAATCCGCCGCGTGCTCTCTTCTGCTGCTGGTGTTTCTGATATTTTTTTTAGTTGACACAATCTTACAACGACACTTCAATGCGGTCAAGCAATTTGCTGGTCGAATTCTAGATGACGTTGCCTATCCCCTACATTCCGATCTTATGTCTGCCAAGTCTTCCCGCCCGATGCGCCGCAAATTCCGTCTTATATCCTGTCGCACATCGGCTTATCGAGCTTCTGTATTGCCATTCCTACCGCGCTATCTTACGTGCGAAGAGACAAAAATACAGAAGCTAAGATTTGAAGTATCCCCATAATAATTGTTTCTTTGTGTTAAACTTTGAATCTTTGATAATCTGTTAACTTATTTACTGCCCATAGTGAATGGAGCCAACTTTTTGCTGAAAATTTTGATCATATGATTTCAAAATAAAGCGCATTTCTCGCTCTCTAAATTAATTCTCCAAAGTCATAATTTCATTTCCATGGCAATTGTAACGCACCTGAGCGACCTTCGTCATCCCTACTGAAATGCATTGTAGGACATGCTATATTAAGAAGATTGTTCGTGGATTGGTCAGAACAAATGACACCTTGCATATCATGGCCCGACAATCTAGCATCCAGCACTGCCCTCCGCTTGCCTCAGACAAAAAGCGGAAATTAATGCCAAATGATCAGAGAATACTAACGCGAATAAGAGGTCTATGCGACCGCCCAAGCGTTGTAAACTGGAGTACATCGGAAAAACTGCACAAAGACATTCTGTTCTCTAAGCCTATCATAGATCAACCTTCCTATTATACACATTACTCTTGACTGCAGCTGAAAGGAGGACACCTCCGTAGTTAAATAGAGCCGTCCTAGACTTAAAGCTCAGTAAACAGAGTCCTGCTGAATAGTTGCATGTTTACTGTAGCTGGTCGACAACAATTAAAGCGTTAGATGCAACAAAAAATAACACGTGTGAGTAGGATAGATTGACTCGCAACTCTTCTAATTGTGTCTGTTCTAACCATCAGACGCACTCTGATATGCAGCCCGGATGGCATTCTTACTAGTTCTTTATCCCGTCAAGCAGATACTGAACTCAGCATCATCAATGGGAATTTTGCAAAGCAACCATCCAGAAGAATGCCCACAAGAATTGTGCTTACATTTATAATCCTTGCCTGTACATTTAAAAATTTAGGAAATTAAAAATATGTATATAAGAGTTATGGGCAATTATGAAAATGCCTTAAAGAACAGAGTAGGTAATTATGCCTTCTTGCCTTCAGAATAGAGACCATCCGCTCAAGGTCACACGAAAATTAGAAAGTCGCGCGTTGGTTTTCTGACGAAAGCAGAAGAAATAACCGAAGTTATAAGCCAGAAGGATGTATTGGAATACTGCCAAGTAAGGGGACTCCCACTCGGTGTAGTAAAATGTAGATGTGGACACAAAATACATCAGCAAATACTGCGGCTACACACCGACAGATATGTATTTCGTTGCGGCCGATATCAAACGAGGTAAGCTCTGCGAGATGACTCAGATTTTGAAAGCTGCCTGCTTACCATCAGAAGAATAATTATATTATGGCTGGCCTTTACGTGAGGCATAGGAGCAAAAAATGCAAAGAGGATATCGACATGGGCCAATGGGCATGGCAAAATGGATATCTTATGTCCCTTTGGATCCAGACAGTGATATCATTGAAGGAGTGGCCTCATAACTGTCCTACAGCCATTTTCCTATCCTTACTATTACTCGAAGATTTATCTACCGATTTTCCCATGAATAACCACATTTCGCCAAAAAAACTGTCACTTGTTTCTTCCCACGCTCAAAACAGGACTCATTTACGCAAAGGTCTACAAATTGTACTCAAAAAAGGGGTGATCCTGTTATTTTTGAGAAGAATTTAACGTAGTGTTTTCTATGACAATCTCATGTTTTGTAGCCAGGGTGTGGTCTGCTCGTCTACACTATGCAGGTTCGTTGTGTCAACATCTTCGGAAACTCAGCCTTCCTGCAGCTTAACCCACAAAATTCTAATGTGGTGTATGCATGATATCTCATGAAATATCAATCGAGATTCTAAAATGCGTTTCCCACTCGGAAAGATTACTTTAGTAAAGTTGTAATAATACTTTTTGTATTGCATAATAACACGATATTTCAGTCACGTCAGAATGTCGGCCTTTGAGTGAGCTTTTTTTGCTCACCTACATAAGCTACATTCCTTAAAAAATGTCTACATAATTAGCGCGAATTTTCACCACTCCTTTTTGATGCCCGGAAAATTTTAATTGGACCGATGCTTCCTCGTGATTTGTCAGGCCAGGTAGAGAAAAATGTTACTTCGAACTTCTAGACTCTTTGCTGATCGAATAATTTGCATTCAGCCTTACGAAATCTTTCCCTGTGTCATCGCTTTCGCACTTTTTCAAAGACGTGGATCTGGACGACTACTTTAAATCGAGGAAAATACAAGGACGAAATTGAAAAACAGTCGTTGAAATCCCAATATCATGTGCTTTCGGAATTGTCCATGAAGCCGAAAATCGTGTTTGCTTTCTCAGCCAGAATATTCTCAAACGAATCCCATTAATTCGCTATAATTTTACTGCGAAATTTCGCTATGGCAGCTGGCCAGTTTCGGGCCAGTCTCATCAAGTATTCAATTAACAGACAGTCAGCAACATGACTCAAATACAAAAATAACGACAAGGCTTTAAAAACCACGCATTCCTCTTTCCGAAATTTTAGTCTTCGGAATTCTACATAATTGCTCCTTCGCTCACATGTTATGACAAAAATGTAATTTTCGGAAAAAGGACTTTGACAAAAGTGTTTATAGAGGGAATGGAGCCGCCGTTTGCGAGATAAACGGTCTTGGATACATGCCGTCTTCAGTTTTATGCTGCACTACAAGCGCCACATCGCCACGTATGAAAGCTTCTTTTTTCGTTTCGGCATCGACTGTTGGGTGTTGTCTGGAAATCAGCCATAATTTGCTTATTTTGGAGATCGGGGCGATGTACTGTCATCTATGCGACAAATACAGATATAATCCCTATTCGCCAGAAAGAACAAGACGGTGCACGGCACACAAATTTATTTGAATTCCCTGTTTAACATCAAAATAAAATCCGTCATTTTACTTCCTCTTCAAATTTGAAGCTCAGAGTCGCACTGCTAGATAGTTTGAACAACCTCTTCAAATAGATAAGCGGGCAGTGCATCCTCACGAGTTATGGGCAGCTTCCATTTCGCCTGGACAAAGCCGTCCCACTTTGTTGATGAGATAGAAACAAGGTCCCCTAACTTGACGCCCTCTTGCCTGAAGTCTGCAATGGCTATCCACCAGCGTCTTTGCGAATGGACGCAGTGGTACATCTGATCCACTGACTGCATCTGGTATGCAGCATCACCATGAATCGGGGACTTTGCCGAGAGGAGTTCGTAGGCAAGCCTGCAAACATTGGAGCTGGCGGTACAGACGAGGAAGTCGGACGACACCAAAAGATGCAGATCCACGAGGATGGCAAACACACCTGTGGTAGACCAACGATTCTTATATGCACTTCCATTTCTCTGTTGACCAATAAATTCATATCTTGGATATTTCGATTTAGCCTCCTGGAAAACGGATGCATCATCAGAAGCCAAGAAGACACGTCGTCGTCGAGACCACGGCGGTGGTCTTGTACTGCCAGTTTCCAAGCCATATTCCACCTCCTTTAACTCAAAGAAACGTTCAACGTGAAACATGTACTCCTCTACTGCATGGAACTTTGCCTCAGAATGGAGTTTATCGGTTCGACGAATGTGTATGCTGGCGATTGGTCCGTTGTATGATTCGGCGTCTGAACTCTTCCTTATACTCTGCAACTCCATTTTTAATTCATGTCGCAGCGTCGGATCTCTTGGACGAAGAATATAATCCAGCAGGTGTCCACGGTACCAGGGAAAGGGATCACCCAATGTCGTACCTAGTTTACTGGACCACGGGCTTGGCATAGCAGGCGCATGATAGCGTCTGCTGATATTGGGAAGCCTGTTTTCTAAATGAGGAATGTTTGACTGTCCTTCGGCGTGCTTCAGCGAGCAGTTAGATAACGGCATAAAGAAGTTCTCCCAGTCATTGTGCTGCAGCAGCAGTGTGCGATTGGTTGCAAAAGCAAATGAAAACTTCAGAACCATGTGATGAGCAGAACATCCAAATCCGCAACTATAACGCAGTTCTGCCAGAGCGAAGGGCGACTGACTGCAGTCGGGAGGATTCTGTATCCTCGAAATTTGGTGTCGCAGTTCTGAGCTCAATGCATCCACCTTCTGACGTCTACTCTCACGCCGGCCACTGAGTTTGTTGAGCAGATCCAGTCTCGCCGTGAGCTGAAGTGTAGCTTGAGACAGGAGATTGTTTAAGCGGCTTATTGATAGAGATGTCTGGTTGCGGGTGTGGAACTGGGCATTACTCAGTCTCCACAGTTCGTTGACGGTTAAACGGGCCTGTCGGAATAGCACATCGGTATTCGGTGATCGTTTGTCAATCGCTGGCGGATAATCGAACGCCACCGTCACAACACGATTTCCGCCAAAATTTGGTCGCCAGATAAAACTCAGACGCCAGATGATGCAGGCAATCAGTGCAGTAATGCAAAGGATGAGTCCTCTTCTAGTCCGCATGTAAACTTAAGAAGATGAGAACTGACTAGCTGATTGTGTTTTACTCAATGCCTTTTATTGCTTGAAGTCATGGGACTTAACAAAATCTCTGTTAGTAAACACATCATTGGGTCTAGGAAATCCCACCAATCAGCTTATGCACCGCAGTCTATAGTGCGTATTTTCGCTATGAAAATCTGGTGCTGAAGAGCGTAACCGGGGATAGTGGCGGCAGTTGTAGATGAGGGTGGTTTGACTTGTCATGGAGTGGTCTGATTCGTACGAAACCGCTGTATTTGGAGCGCATACGAAGAATAGACAAACGTCATGCAGTCAGAAAACTCCGTAACCTGTGACGATGTAGAACACATATCACTCCTGACTTCATTCTACTGAAAACGCTACCGCTTTTGACGACCTACAAAGACTAGGGGGCGGTGAACACAGTAGTATCTATACGTGCGTGAATTATTCGCAGGCATTCATTTATCTCGAGATTTCGTTAACTATTATCCTTACAATCTTTGCCCGAGAGATTGAGAAAAGACCTATTTAAACCTTGTCCTTGCTGACTACGTCTCATATGTGCTGCCTGGTCTACTGCATATTCAACGACGGTATTACTCGGAAGCCATCATTGCAAGTCTAGGTAAAGGCACCAGCACGACCCGGCCTATTTGGGAGATCTTCACTATCCATGCTCCGGAGAGCCGTGTAAACTGGTAAACAGTCTATATACGACGAGTGAAACCAGATCTTTGTAAACAGTTGGAGCACGTGGTTACCCTAACATTACCATGGTAGCCTCTAGCTCCATGATTCCCCCTCTCTCCTCTCTTTTTTTGCTCTTTATCGTTTCCCCCTTTTTTCACTTTCTCCCCCTACGGCGGTTGTGTTACTAACTTTATCGATTAGCCAACTTTGCCCCAAACCCTAACCTTGCTGTTTCTGCATCGATTTTCTGCATGAATTCAAATCTGTTATCCCTCTTATGAAGCGACAGGAAGCCGCTGAAGAGCAGTCGAGAAATTTTTTGGTACCAATAAATCCTGCCGTTCTTGCCTACTTCAGCTTCGTACCGGAGACAAAATGCTTCAAATTTTTAAGACAAAAAGTCAACATTTTAGTTCAGAAATATTGTCTTCTGACCCTCTGCAGTTTGTCTCGACACGCCGATACACAACTGCGTTTGTAGTTTCTTGGGTGAAGGAAGAGAACAACCAGCTGGCCGTCCTGCATGTCCTCGTATGCCGTAAAGATTGTGGTGGACTAAAGACCAAATTGTTCAGGAAAGCGACAAATATGAAGCAAGCACTGAGCTTCATTACCAACCACCCAATCAGCCAAATCTGTGCCCTAAATCTAACCCTATCCTTACCTCTAACGCTAAAACTCATGAACTTAGTCCTCCTAACCGCTACTTTAGTAAGTATCCTAACTTTCTTAATCCCAGTCATCGCCTTTCATAGAATCTAGTGCACAGTCGCCTGGAATACGACAAATGCGGTCCAGAAAAGCGTTGGGCCTCGTGTCTCCTCAGCCAAAAGATCAGTAAGCGTCTGTTAGCCCGTGACCAGCAAACCTTGGTTTCCGCAACCTGATATGCGGTGACAGTTCTCCGACGACTAGTTTCCTGCCGGCGCTCCCGCTGGGTATACAGGTTGCGAGTATGGCTGCTCAGTCATCCTCCTTCTTCTGACCTGTTGAGGTTGTTGGTTGAAATCCTGGTGTGGAACAGGAAGTGTGGAGAACAGCGTCAAGGTGCGGGCACTGTCGCGTCATCCACCTGCGCTTTCCCACAACCTCCAGTCTTCTTGACTCTGTTTTGATACCGAGCTCAGGTGGGGGGGAGAGAGGGTGGTAGACGCAGCGCAAGTGTACACTCACTATCAGTCAATTCCAGCTCAATTTGCCGTACTTGCTTCACCTTGATTTGGTTGTCGTCGGATGAGACATCCGAACTGTCAATATGAAAAATCCATCTTTTCGTGTGCTACCACTTTTTTTAGACCAAACCTCACGTAATCTTGACGGCCAAATGAAAATCATGATTAAATGGAGCATTAAAATGAGGTATTCCATGCCTCTTATTTGAACACCATTTTCGCCTTCAGTACGTCGTATACTGTCACAAGGGAGATTATGAATATGTCGCGAAAAAGTTTTCCTTAAGTCAGGTGAAGCAGGATGTAAGGATAAAAGTTATTTTCAGAAAACCTAACACATATTGGATAATCAAACGTCCAATTTGCAAATCTACCTGGTTTCACGTCCTTAAACGACGTCATAACACCTACAGGTAATCCTTTGTGTAAACGTGTGGACATCTTTCGGCCGCTTGCGAATACTGATTAACGTTTAATGGAAGGATATTTTTCCATGTAGTTATTCCATCTTTAGGCGTATGCTGGGTTATTTTTTTCGGAGTGTAGTTTCCAATGATGCGCGATTTAAAAACAGAATGGGTCAATGATTAGCATTTCTAGTAATATTGTAGTGTTTGTATGATTACCCTATTGTTTAATTTTATTCGTATGACGGGGCCCTGATATAAAAAAATATAAAAATACACAACAAATATGTGTAAGGCAATTTGGCGGAAGGAAGTTTTCTTAATACGCACAAAATGGGCTGTTTATGGTTGTATTTGCCGATTCTACTCAAACGTATTTGTAGTTGACTGGCCTGTCAACTTATAACCTTTGAACACATTTTATTCCTATGACGGCCCTAGAACCGAAGTCAAGCGACTTCCTTTACACCTTAGTCAACCGCATCTCAAACAGTGTACAAACGAGAAAATACAATAAATCCTCATGAAATCGCTTTGAAATCTGTACTTAATTTGCAGCCTGTTGCCTGATCGCAATATCGGACATCAACAGAATTTCTAACGGATGCTTAATTGCACACTTTACTAAGGGACAATTTTCAATCGTTACTCAGTTTGTGCCGTTTTATTTGACCAGTTTTGCATGAATGGGCTTCTTGTTTATCCAAAACCTAAATTTACAATCATTTTTGACGTTCGTGGAATTAACGATTTTCTAAATAAGATATTTCTACACAATCTATTATTATTTGTAGCATTCATTCTAACTTTAATTTGCCTTTATTTGTTCATCATAATTCCGGGGTAAGTATATTTCTCCTTGCTTGTCTGGTGGTGATTGGCAAAATGTCGTAAATTTCGGCACATTTTCTGGTATAGAACGTTTACTGTAGGTTGAACAAACAAGTTATTCGACAAATTCACAAAAGCAAAATTATGCATCTTAGTAGTAACATACTTCAGGCTATTTATTGATGAGATTTACAGTCATCTTAAGCATGCGCAATACTAGTTGAATGGTGCATCTTGAAAGTGTATGTTTTATAAGAAATGAGATTCGACGTCACGAGAATCAAAGCATAATTTCCTATGGCAGCTGAATTATGTATGAGATTTCTATACCAAATCCTTATGTGTTCCATTGGTGTTCTTGTGTGCTGAGGCGCCAGACTATCTAGCCTTTCCCCACCTGTTCCTCATTCTTGAACTTACTGGTTGTTTAACTCAATGGAATGAACACAACTCGACGCGACGCGCTTGGCATGAGTGGGATTGTCAGGTCCTTTGACTTTTGATTATTAATTCTTCCATAACTCTGGTCTTATCCTGATTTTTATAGTCTGGGATTGACGGTTCTGTCTTTAGCGTTCGCAACAATGGTGACCCTTTGACGTTCACGCTTATACCTTCAATTAGTCGACTTCCAATTTGCATACCGCCCGTTTGTCTTCTTTCTTTCTACAATCATGTCCTCTACGAATTCCAACGATCCCACTTCTTCTCTCAGTGGACTTGTTTCTTCCCTCCCAGACTTTTGGCAACATGCGCCAGAGCTGTATTTTTTCCGTATTGAGGCGACTTTTCACTCCGCCAAGATAACACGTGAAACCGACAAGTTTTATAAGCTGGTCGAGGCCCTCCCTCCCACCATTCTTTCTCAAGTGCAGACGCTTCTGAGAGATCCCCCGACTGATGCTCCTTACACCAAGTTAAAGGCTGAACTTCTTCGCCTGACATCAGTCTCCGATCGGCAGCGTTATCACGCACTAGTAAAAGAGGAGGCCTTAGGTGATCGCAAGCCGTCGGAACTCTTGCGTCGCATGCGTTCTCTGGTTGGGAACATGAAAATCGACGACAAGTTCTTTAAAGAGATGTTCTTAGAACGTCTGCCGACGTCTGTACAAACAATCTTGGCCTCTGGCTCCGAAGACCTAGAAATATCAAAGTTAGCGGAGATGGCTGACCGTATGATGGAGGTTGAGCGTTTGTCATCCCCGACGATTGCTCAGGTGTCTCAGCCTCTCAACGTGTCCACCTCTGACCTTGCTGAACTAAAGCCGCAGATTGCCCAGTTGTCAGCGACTGTTGCCGCTTTGCAGCTGCGCCGATTCCCCTGGTCCTCTTGGGCATCCGCTCCGCTCTGAAGCCGGACCTTGTTTGTTCCACAGCTGAACTGGTGTTCGGTGCCACCGTCCGACTCCCCAATGAGATGATCTCGCCAACCCCTCAAGGTGCATTTGAGGATCCTACCAACCTCCTGCATCGTCTCCGGCAGTTTATGCGGACACTTTCTCCGGTTCCTCCCAGGTCCTCCGCCTTTCCGTCTTATCTCGAGAAGGACTTGGCAACGTGCTCTCACGTCTACCTTCGATGTGATCGAGTCCGCCGGCCTCTGGAACCGCCCTATGACGGCCCATTTCGGGTGCTCTCTCGCGGGCCGAAGACTTTCCGCATTCAGCGCGACAATCGTGAAGAGGTCGTGAGTGTGGACCGCCTCAAGGCTGCCGTCCCTGACACTCCTCCGGATGAATCCTGTGGTCCTGTACCTTCTGCTTTCCCCCATGCAGCCTTTATTCCACCCTCCCGTATTTTCCCGCTGCCCTCCTGTCCGCCATCTCCGACTGCCACCACCAACTCCAACACATCCGCCAACAAATTTATTCACTCTTCTACGGACCCTGTATATATCACTCGTAGTGGTCGTCATGTACACTTTCCTGATCGGTTGGTCACGCATTTCTTTTAGACCTGTACACATCCTTCGGCGTCGTTTTCGCCGGCCTCCGGTCTCGGAGGGGGGTACTGTGCTGAGGCGCCAGACTATCTTGCCTTTCCCCACCTGTTCCTCATTCTTGAACTTACTGGTTGTTTAACTCAATGGAATGAACACAACTCGACGCGACGCGCTTGGCATGAGTGGGATTGTCAGGTCCTTTGAATTTGATTATTAATTCTTCCATAACTCTGGTCTTATCCTGATTTTTATAGTCTTGGATTGACGGTTCTGTCTTTAGCGTTCGCAACACTTGCAGACTAAACACCGCACCTTCTCATATACTGGCACACATGCGTGAACAAAAAAGAATGCAATTGTGAATTTGCGTAATCATTTCGCAAAAGTTAAATCCTTGGCTAATGAAGTGAGACACCTTATTCCAGCACGCAGCCGAGACATTTGTCCATCGGAGCTTTATCAATCCAAAGGAAAGTCTCCCAAACATTTCAGCGGGGAAAAGACACGAGTAGTGATAGTTAGATATCCAATGAAGAAACATAACTTGTCTTTTTGGTGAATCCTGAAACACATAATTGGGAGTTCTCCATGGCTTGAAAACCAGAGTTGTGCATAATAATTGTAGATTCGTCGTTGAAAGAAAGAAGACACCGTCATGCGCAGATCTGAAACTTCGTACGTGCGACGTCCTTCGATGGACACTTTATTTGCAGCAAGTTACACAGCGTTTCAAACAAAGTTCAGTGTACGCAACTTAACAACTATACACTGAGTGAACGATCTCATGAAATGTTAACCGAAATTCTGAAATGGGTTTCCATTAGAGCGGATTACTTAGGCGGGTTTGAGACCTCGCTTATTATGTGGCATAATTCCATAATATTTCGAACTTACAAGGATTTCGTCTTTGAAATTAATTTCTTTTTGGCCTCCTGTAGAGACCATACTCAGTAACAAATGTCTACCTAAGTAGCAATCATCGCTCACATTTGTTTTCCGATGGTTTAATAAATTTAAATATATTTTAAAATACAATTCACAGAATATGTTTTCTTTTAGACATTTGGTAGCCAATCACATTTCCGAGTATGCAACGTGTGCAATGTAGAAAACACAGCAGACCTGAATTCATGTTACTGAAAACGCTACATCTGTTGACGAACTACAAAGACTAGGGGGTAGTAAACACAGTGGTATTTATACCTACATTCATTTATCTCGGGATTTCTTAAACCGTTATCCTTACAATCTTTGCCCGAGAGATTGAGAAAAGACCTAATTAAACCTTGCCCTTACTGACCGCGTCTCATAAGTGCTGCCTAATCTACTGCATGTTCAACGACGGTATTAATCGGAAGCCAACATTGGATGTCTAATTAATGGCACTAGCACGATCTGGCCTATTTGGGAGAGCTCGACTATCCATGCTCCGGCGACCCGTGCATACTGCTAAACAGTCTACTTCAAAACTACAAAACCACTCCTCTTTCAAATAAAATCACGACAATTTTGCGTTACAAAGACGCCGATTTACTATCTGGGAGAATTAATTGTGACAGCTTTTAGTGCGAAGTGATTACTCGTTGTGAAATCGTTTGATCAAGCGTCAGGCAATAACAGACGTCGGAAAACTGTCGTCTTACAGGTATATTGTGATATCACTGCGCGAAGTCGAAAAGGCATAAGATATCCACTTCGCTTTAGAAAGTGAGCACCAATGTCATTGCGTAAATTTTCTACTTGTGATTTGCTTTAGGCATTTGAGGCATTCTGAATCTCCTTCGTTATTTGCTCCCTCGAATGGCGAGCATGCCTGCTGCAGTACACACACCACTTGCCACGGGTTTCCAAAGGTAGTATGATAAGATTAGGGGTCATACACGTCCACCCATCCGCAGACTCACGGAAGCCAGTAGTGCCAAAGGTTGTGAATGAGGGAGACCTGACTTGTCAAAGAGTGATCTGATTTGTACGTAACCGCTTTATCTGGGGCGCATACTGGGAATAGACAGAAATCAGGAAGTCAGAAAACTCTGATATCTGTGGCGATGTATTAGACACGGCAGTCCTGGCTTCATTCTACTCAAAACGATACCGCTATTGACGAACTACAAAGACGGTTGTATCGATACCCACATGAATGAGTCGCATGCATTCATTTATCCTGGTATTTCATAAACCGTTATCCTTACAATCGTTATGCGAGACATTCAGAAGAGACCTATATTATCCATATCTTTGTTGACTTCGTGCACATTGGTAAAAGGCCTACTTAAAAACTACAACAACATTCCTCTCTCAAATACAATTTCGACAATTTTGCGTAAAAAATACGCCGATATCCTGTTTGGAAGAATAAATTATGAGAGCTTGTAGTGCGACGTGGTCACTCATTGTAAACCCATCTGATCAGACGTCAGGTGATAACTGACGTCGGAAAACTGTTGCCCGACAGGCACAATGTGATATCACCGCCGAAAGTCAAAAAGACACATGATATCCACTTCGGTTTAGAAGTGACCCTGGTTTTGGGAAAAGTGTTCACCTGTGCGCTCTCTGCGTTGCTAATTACTCCGCCTAGGCGAAGTCTCAGCAGCGAGTGTGGAATAGGAAGATAAGTTCACTTGCCATTTCACTGGGGGACAGTAAACCATGACTCAAGCAGCTCCCGGCTCAAACGGTTGTCACCTCTCGCAAGCATTTTGGCCTCTTCAAACGGTATTGTGTGACCGGATCTCGTCGAATGAGCCGCAACTTGAGAGCTGGCGTTATTTCTCCGGACGGCTGCAGTGTGTTCGGCCGTTCGCGTTCGGAACTGTCTTCCGGTTTCTCCGGCGTAGCTGCTTTGTCCGCAACTGCATAAGATCCGATAAACGATTGTTTTAATCAGGAATCTGAAACGTCAGGTTAATAAAGCCCTTGTCCCAGCGATCGTGTCTCCTTCGTCAAGACTGCTTCGTGGGGCTCGTCTCTTCCCTTATAGTGGCTGCTTACTTTGCTACAATGCCAGCCTGTCTTTCAAGTGTCATTTGTTGGGGCAGCTCAGGAAACGCACTCTTTGTCTTCACTAGTGGTCGCTGAGGTTTCAGAATGTTGTCGTCTTATGCATCCGAAATGAATCCAGATTTTCGCTTACGCGGGATCACTCCAAATGCCGTCGAAATGGCCGGAAGGGGAAGACACGAGAACTGTGCCTTGTTCACCTGATGGGTTCGAGTGAGAGTTGCAGTCGTCGGGCAGACAAAATGTTTGCCTCCACACAGGAAACATTGTTAGGTAAAACAAAAAGAAAATGAGACTAAGTATAACGTGTGTTGACGAAAAACCAAATCATTCTTTGTGAGAGATAGTGTTTCCCTCTTAAAGCCTTTTCGTATGCCAATACTCCCAAATTCGTGCGTTGATCCATCTGCCAAGTGACAGTAAAATAAGTAGCCAAATAAAATGTAGGCATTTGCTTTGAAACCGTCAATAAAAGCCGCGAAGTTGGCTTAGCAAACTTCCCACAGCTATTCCTTCAGCTTGTCGGCAGGCAGGTCAATAAAATGCACATATCAGGCAGCGGAAATATACCAAATGGCAGACGCCTACTGCCGTCATGTGTAAAACATTTATAGAAGCAAGTTTATGTCCATATTGATAATGTATTTGGTGGTAGTATTTACGTCTTACATTTTTCGGTCCAATGTGCTTTTTAGTGCGCACTTTATAGACCGTTAACTGCGAGAAGCCAGACAGAGACACTACCTTCGCGTGGCTTTTTCTACACTGCTATGATTAAGGATTACACATTTTTGTGATTTTGATGATGGCACAGTTTCGACATCAACCAAACTTTTATATCACCTTACACACTGGACATTTTGTCGCCTTCCTGATGTGTTGAGAAACATTACTGGCATAGCCTTGCCTACGCGTTCGTCGGATTATACGTAAAATGTGGCAGCCGAAAAGAAGACAAATGTTCTTCATATCACTGAATTCTGCCCTAATGGCATGTTGTGAATTAAAAATGGGGGCAGATTACCTTGGACAAATGTTATCAATTTAGTATGGTGTGTCTGACTATAATAACAGGAATCCAAGGATGAAGACTTTGGTGTCTTCCTAGCCATCGAAAGTAGGCAACCTTAGCCAGAAGGATTCCGACTCCAGTCCTTATTTCAGTTCATTAGTATGGGCGCTTGTGTTGAGTTTTTCATTTGCTTATAAACATCCGGATTACCATAAACTAATGTACGGGTATTATTGCAAAGGGTCTTGTCCGGATTTGAGTACGGGATGTGTTCTGTAGTAAATAGTAACAAACAAACAAATTATTAGTGATTTATGGGCTATCGTCTTCACATCAAAGTACGTGGATCCCTAGCATCAGCGATTCAATCCGCTCCCTAATATTAATAAAGGGAGTTTATACAAAAGGTTTCAAATCAATTTAGCAGTGTACTCAGATGACTCCGTTAAATGCCATGCAATACAGCAAATTATTACGGTGTTTGCTCCATTGTGTCAGTCGATAGCATACGAGTTTCCGTGAGTAAAAACACTTTTGTGTACTGCGACCGCGCACAGAGTCTTTCATTACATTGTATCTAAATCTCCAAACTTCATTGGGTTTGATACTTCACGATGGAGTAATATTTAACTGATAGTAGTCCTAACACTTAAATGGATACGTACTATTTTGACTGCTACTTTTGCACATAAGTATGTTACATAATGCAATGTGATGGATTACACCTAGCCATGGCGTCGCGTAGCTGCAGTTGCACTTGATTAAGGACCTCTGTATACTCCTCTTGCTCTGTTTTCGTACAGAATATGCAGAAAAGTTTGATTGTTAAATTTGTTTGATGAAAGCGTTATTCTTGCCCATGATGTCTTTACACAGCAAACATCGCCCCATATGTCTAATGTAATTTTTAATTTTTTAGTGAATCGTGTAATCTCTGCCAATATTCTTTAAATTTTTGTTTTCAAATAATTTTGTGAAGTCATATTAAGATGCTAAT